CCCCAAAACCCCAAAACCCCAAAACCCCATGGCGATGATAATTTCAAGGATAGGAGTGTAGAATAAAATATTAATTAGTTAAAGGAATATAAAGTAATTCTAATCTTCTCCTGCTTAAGTTGATATTCAAAAAGCCGATCATCTGGTGCCTGGGATATTTACCATGTTGAGTGCGTTTCCACTAAGGAAAGTGATGTTTGGATTGGATTATAATGCCTCTACGATATGTTAAGCAGCTTCAATTTTTCTCATTGCTACTAGACCTTGACCGTACTTTGAAATAGCATCAGCCACTAACTGGGCAGCTTCAGCCTCTCCCTCAGCTCTTAAGACTGCAGCTTTCATTTCCTCTTCTCTCACCATGACGATGAACTTAGATCTCTCAGCCATTTGCTGAGCAACTTATTTCTGCTCAATAGCATGAGCGAACTCTTTAGAGAATTGCAAGTGAGTTATAGAAACATCATCGAGATGAATATCGAACTCTTGGGCTCTCTTACTGAGAATATCTCTAATTTCCAAAGAGACTTTCTCTCTTTGAGTAAGTAATTGATCTGCATTATATTAAGCTACAACTGACTTGAGTACTTCATTTCCGATTGAGGGGATAACTCTCTCATCGTAATCCTAACCTAGATTATTCAAGATCTCTGCTAATTTCTCCTCAACTGGTCTATATAAGATTCTGAGTGAGAGATCTACATTTTGTTGATCTCTGGTACCAGTGCTAGAGTGAATGGTTTATGGCTTTGATCTGACTTCGAATCTCTTTGGAACCTATGAAAATATTGAGTTTAAGCACTTAAGCCTTTAGAAATATGATTTAGTTTCTTACCATAAGGAGTGGAACCATCAAGTGCATACCCTCTCCATATACTTTATTCTGTACTCCTTTTATCTTGTTGAAGATAACGGCACGCTCACCACCATCAACGACAAAGGTAAATCTAGTTAAGACGATTCCACCGACTAATAGGGCAGCTCCGAGTTGGCCCATTCTATTGAAAAACTTCTCCATATCTAATTATTGATTCTTTGTTAATAAAATATTAATTATTAACCTCAAACTATTCAAGAGTCTAATAAATTAACAATCACTGATTAATCTTAAATAAGGTAGAAAACATTTTAAAACTTTAAAGCTTGGGAGTTAAATTTATTAACAATTATAAATATCTATGCAACTTATTAAAAATGAAGAATGATTAAAATGATATAAATTCACTTCCTTAAATACTGACTAATTCTTTTTAAAAACACTTTGCCAAATTAAGTATTTACTTATATCATAATATGAGGTATTTCAGAATGAACCACCTCTGAGTTGGAGAACCATATGGATAGTGCTGCCAGCTTCCAAGTTATAGTCTGATATCTTCATCTCATCTGCTAATTATTTTCCTCCAAAGATAAGTCTGATTTGATCAATCATAATACCCTCCTTTTCTTAAAGAGCTTATTTGACTTAAAGAATGGTGTTATCTGGGTCGAAGTTAAAGCTTTGCTTTCTTCCGGTTAAAGTCTATACAAGTTTTAGGTTAATATATATTTATTGAGTCATGATTAGCAGAATGGGAAAGTGAAGAGCTAACGTGATAGTGAAATGATATACTTACTTTGATTAGTAATTGCATTTTGTATTTGAAATTATTAATTCTCTCATCTAATTTATCACTTATTACCCCAATGGGGTTTTGGGGTTTTGGGGTTTTGGGGTTTTGGGG